GAGACATATTTAAATTTGCATAGAGAAGAAAACCATTTTGATTTACACACATAGTGAAATAATTGTAGTATCTGTCCTACAGTGTAGAAATCAGAAAACATTTAGTTAAGCTACAAATATAACTACAGATATATCAAATTGTGAAGGAAAAATAGGGGTACTAAGACACAGGTTTTTCCCAGGTCATGTTAGGGTCAGTTTCTGAGCTAAAGTAAGCTAAAGGTGACTGTAACTGTAGGTCAGACTCTGTCTCTGACTGCTTGGTCGCCTGAGTGATGCAGCTGTCTTGAAAAGGATGCGCTGTTATCCAATTTGTTAGGGAACACAAGGTCGAGATTATCTTATTTCGTTTCATTACAGACAGACTGTAATTTGTAGAAAGCGTTGCATGTGGCTTGAACGACACACAATGTGACTTCTTCATCCCAGCTGAACCCGGCTGCCTTTATTTTCATTCAACAAATGTTGAAACAACAGAACGAAGCTGGATTAACACCCATAAACATCTTGCAATGTTAATGAAAGTGGAAAAAGTAATTTGTGGGATCCACCCTGTGATTCGGATCTGCTCCAAAATGTAATGGGTTCGTCCTTGGCCCTTGCTACACCCTTGCACCAAGTTTCATGAAAATCGGGCTGGTAGTTTTCCGTAATCCTGCTGACCGACAAACAAACAAACCAAAACATAACCTCCTTGGTGAACGTAATGATAACAGCAATAATATAATAAGATTGAAGTAAATAGCCTAAGCAAACACATGCTACACATTATTCGATTGGTTAGATTCTACACAATCGTAATCGTTCATTATATGGAAACGATTCAGATTTACCGGTATGGTAAACAAGAGAGAGGAAGAAAGCCTAATTATTATTATTTATTTATTCATGTCCCATATAGACGCCTATTCTAAATAAAGGCAGGATGAGTTCAGTGATTGAAGCAAATAAAAGCCCAAAATGAATTATATGTATATAACATGTAAAATGGTTGTTGAGTTACAAAGCTATTACATAAAAGAAACTTTAAATTATCTGGTCACATCCTTTATACTAACTTATGTAAAAATTTCCTAAATAAATGTGAATTTTCCCTCATATTTTATAAAAGGTATCAGGCCTTCCTTTGATAGCAATGGTAATTTCTCTAATGGAAAAAAATTTAAAAAACTGACTGAAACTCTGGGGTTTTTCCAAAAGGCAGATATTGTATGTTTAGCTTGAAGAAGGGGAAAAAAATTGTATGTTTTTTTTGGTTTCTGGTAGTTTGGCTGAAACTGTTTGCTTCTGCTTTCTAATATTATTTGATCCTTGGGCAATGAAACACTGAACCAGTGTGCCCTTCAGTGTTGTATTACACACATTGCTCTGGATTTTTGGCATCAAAATTGTGTAATTGGGACAGAGTTACATAAGTACACAAAATCCATTTGTACTGCAGGAATCTAAATCTGGTGTTAATAGTTTGAACCTGGACTTCATGGCATAACGTTACTTGCTCCCATTCATCTTTTGTTATCTCTGTATCCAAGTCACTACACCAAGCAAGTCTCCTGTTCTCTGAGGACTCTGTGTGGCTTTACTGAAATAGTTTGACATTTTGAGGTAGCTGAGGAGATTGATACTAATGTCTGTGTGCTACAAATGAAGCAGGAGTGAGCAGCCAGTCAGCTTAGCTTAGCATAAAGACTGGAAATAGCTAGCCCATCAGCCCCTCTAAAGCTCACTAATTCACATGTTATATCTTGTTTAATCTGCACAAAGACACAAGTATAAAAACAACTATTTTGTGGGGCTTTTGTGTGCTGGACTGTTTCTTCAGATTTGTGTGCTGGACTGTTTCTTCAGATTTGATTCTTGGTGAATGTTATTACCTTTGGACAGAGCTAGGCTAACTGTTGCCCCGTTTCCAGTCTTTATGCTATGCTAAGCTAACTGGCTCCAGCTACATATTCATTGTGCAGACATGTGAGTGGGATTGATCTTCTCCCTGAACTCTCTGCAAGTAAGCCAGTAAGTACACTGACTAAATTTACCTATTCTTTTAACAGATAAAGTCTTATGCCTGTGTTTTTAAATTTTGATTTAGGCCCAGAGGCCTAATGGACAAAGTATCTCCAGCCCATTTGGCACTGCTGTAAGCTCAACTACTGTGTTCCTGACCATGTCTGAACTTCAGTACCTGCACTCCCACCCTGTCGACAAAGATTTCAGGTAGCCTCTTCTCTCACTAATTTGTACTTTTATTTGACTTAAAACAGGATGTTTGTGTAACATTTCCAGAGAATGTCTCAAACTGTTTTCTACCCCCCAGTTCCCACTCTACTCCACACAAAGACACTCCCCCAACAAAGACTCGTCTGTCAAGAACATTATCTGACACGCCCTCCACTGAGTCAGAGCCATCTGATCCAGGTTGCTCCCAGTCTCTCCAGAAGTTGTCCTTCAGGCCTCACTTGTCAGACAACTCTATGTTTAGCCCAGTTCCATCACAGAGCACCGCTGATCCACTCCACCCCCCACCACAGTCGCCGGAGCCTCCTTTCTCAAACGGAAAACACTCCCATGAAGCTGAGGAGGAAGCGCTGGAGGGGTCGTTTTATCACAGTTTTCACAGCAATGGAGGTGGAGGCAGCCAGATAAATTACGACGAAGACAGCTCAGTGTTTGAAGAAAACTCAAGTCTGAACGGAGGTGGAGGAGATGGAGACGTGGCATGTGGGACGGTGTTCGACTTCAGACGGGCTAAGTCTGCAAATAAGGAATCGCATGACGATAAGGTTTTCAGCGAGGCCAGCAGAGGTGGCCGTGGGAGTGCTCAAGGCCGCAAGGCAGAGATGCGAGGTCGTCCCCCCAGCGCTGGTGCTTTTGCCAAGCCAGAGGATAATCCGCTGATTCCCACGACGCTGTACCTGCACCGGGTGAAAGGCTTGGTGCTGGCTCTGCTGGTGGAGCCTCACTTCTTGAGTGACACGGCTTCTATGGAGGAAGTGGTGAGAAACAACAGCAACCCAGCTAATAACTGGGATTTCTCTCATTTTTGTCACATTATGATATTGAAAGTTTGTGAGCACAAAACGGCAGCAGTATGACACAGCCTCAGTGGTCCAGCAGCTGTACATGAGTGCACTAATTTGCCTAATGCCAACATATGGTTTTGTCAACTCTTTATCGTTTGCGCTCAGTATCATAGCAGTCTGGCGTCACTCAATGGACTTGAGGCCCATTTGAGGACAATCTCCCCAGGGGCCCCGGGCACTCCAGGACCCTACATCTTTGCCCATTTTGACTGCATTCAGAGCACACTGACAAGTGAGGCTCTCATAATATTCTCACTTATCTCCTCCACATTCACTCTTTGTGTCGCTCTTTATTCTTTACTCGCTCTGCTCTTACATTTCTGATTTGTCTGATAATTCTGTCTTTTCCAGTTTCCCACATTTCACTTTTCTTCTAGAGTTAGTATAAGCCCTTTGCCCCCACCATCTCTACCTGAGGACTTCGGGGGGTTGGGGGGTTGGTAGTTTATATTTGTCTTTGCATGAGCTAACGGCTAATTAGTAATACTGTGATCAGCATTCCTTTGTGCACTAGACATGCCCGTCCAGGTTAATGTGCCGCTGTCGTACTCAGTCTCTTGTTATTGTGTGTCTCTGCAGCCAACCTGTCTGGTCGACCAGGGGGAGCCCCAGAGCGTCCTTTTGTGAGGGCCACATCACTTCTTCACTCGCATTTCTGTAACACTGAAACTCTGCAGGAGGCTATTATCAGGTCAGTATGGCAGTGACGTGTTGGTGGATGGGGGGGGGGAGGTTCTCGTGCCTTTCAAGGCTCCTCAAGTAGAAGTCGGGGGTGAGGGTTTGGATCTGTCAGTTAATCGCGTCCATTATCACATCCCACCAAGACCTGAATGTCCTTCCCTTTCTTGCGTAGATCACACCGCAACAAACTCATATTTACTGGAGAAGAAAACTGTTCTGTTGTTTAATTTGTTTGTTGTGTCACTTTGCGCTTTCCTGTTGCGTGCCATCTGACTTACATGCTTGAAATGTAAATGTGTGGGACACTTTCACTGCAGGAGTGCTGATGCTGCTGTGTATGGAACCAGCAGCGTGGCCCAGGAGACTTTCTTCCAGCTGCACGGGGGATCACTTAGGAACTCGGGCGTCCCTAACCACCAGGACAGTGCTTTCTCGCTGCCCAGCAAGGCCCGACACAGACTAATGAAACACGGGGTTAACCTGCTCTGACAAGACGGCATCATGACGTCTCCTCTGTGTTCAGGAGGAGTATTTTGTTAAAATATGAAGAACTGCCCTGTGAGTAACCTCAAAATCAACAGGAAAAAATGTGAGAATATGATTTAAAGCTCCCTCTATTTTGTAGCTTGTTGTTGTTTCTGTAACAGATTGTATGTTATTAGCATATTGTGCACTTTGAAACCTTATGCACTCATATTCATAGCAGAACGTCCTCTAATGCAGCAAATGTGACAATTCCTCTTTCATGTATTTATTCATTTTAATAGGAAATTTAGACTAAAGCAAGATTAAATCTTTATACCACTTAACCTACTGCATTTGTACAGAAACATGCTTTTCCTTGCTGCACATAAACTGCAAAACTGTATTGCTTTCTCACACACATTTCTAAAATAATTATAAAACAGTTCTATGAAAACGTCTATATATTTAAAATGGACTCTTTAGTAACAAAAAACGTGTAATTTAACTATTTCGCTATTTGATGCACAATTGTATTCTCTTAAAGTGCAATTTGTCTGTATTCTGAAATTTGATGAGAAGATATGCACTTTTATATACTGCAGCATTAGTGGAAATTAAATGAATACGTGATCCTCTCAGCGTTGTATTGTGTGCGCTACTTTTGTAAAAGCTTGTTTACATGAGCCTTATTAGGGCCATCAGCGGCCTGCACGTGAGACTGCAAACTGGCCCCATTGTTTTCAGCCTCAGGGTTAACAGCCCGTCTCAAAATGTTTACAACTGGAATGAAGAATGACGCACGCACAAGCCCATAAAATGCATTTGTTCATGTTCTGAATGTTTCTTATACGTGTTGTAAATAGGATCGTTCCTGATGATCCAAATATGGAGTCATTAGAGTCATTAGTTAAGTAGTTGAATTTGAATGGATGGGGTCGGCGCTCTTTGGGGCGCCTCATTATGCAGGCGCATTAAAAGAAAGCAGTTGGGGGCAAATAGGTGGTTAAGGGCACGAACAAAAAGAGGGGCAGGGACTTTGAGGAGGGCCATGATTCAAATTCTAAGTGGTAAGATGTCTCCATTGTCAGTGGGGTATATAGCAGGCAGACCAAACACTCCATCCGTAGAGTTGGCACAACGGAAAAGCTGTCTGTTGTTACTCAGTGAAGATCCAAAGGCCAGGATTTTTAAGTATCACAATGGCCTCCTCGTACTGCATTTGGATTGTTCTATTTCTTCTCACGGTGACGAAAAGTGACATTGGAGTATTTAGTCGCGCAGTAGACACGCTGGGATTTCTGTCACAGTCAACGAAAACTGCAGATGAATCCGCCGGAACATCTTTACGCGTGGAACCGTGGAGGCGCGGGGTCGTGGAGACGCACCGCGAGCGGTGCGCAGAGCTGGCGGCGCCTTGGCTGGAAAACACACAGCAAGCTCCTGAGAATGATGCAACACTGTTGCAGCTCCGGGTTAGGCCGTTTTCCCCGGGAGCCTCACATGGCCTGGTGTTCCCAGGAAAATGTCTTTTCAGCTTTGTCCGACGGGTTTACCACTGCTGTCAAGCGGGACTAAACTGCAGAAGCGTCAAAGGAATTCAAGGTCACTTGAGAGGAGGTAAGACAAAGTATATCCGACTAAAAAACACTCGTTATGATGATCTTTTGTCGTTCTTATTCTGTAGAACTGAAATGTGTTGGCTGTATTGGGTTGGTCCAACATGGTGATTTACAAAGAGACGCACAGGAGCAGTTTTGTTCCACGTGATTAATGCCACTAAATGTAGTTCAATGCAACATTTAAGAGGAGCTATTGTGACCACATGAACTGGCGTCTCACAAGTTGAGTGTAGGCCTGTTGAGCACAAACATCAATAAGGCTTGGAGAGCACACACCTGTGGTGATAAATTGTCAAACTGCATCAAAACACATCATTGCCATTACTTTCCTTTGGCTGAATGTATTTCTTGACCATGAAACACACTCATTAGTTTTGGAATCAAGATATCTACAGCCTATCCTGTAGGGTAGAGGGGAAAAAGCATCAAATTAAATCCCCCTTTTAGTCAGAGAGGTTAGGCTACTACAAGCTCAATGTGGATAAAGCAAAAGGTCAGTGTTGTAAAATTCAGAGGTGAATGGTGTACAGACACCCAGACAGCAGTCTTGCAAATATAAAACTTGTTGGGGAAATACAAGACCCTATTACACTCAGTGAAGCCCATCCAGTTATCATGCCAAGACTATCGGGATGAATGAGTACATAATTTATCTGAAAAGGTTGTATTATAAACATCCTAAGCAGCCACATGCAAACATAAAATGGTGTTGAAAGAGCAGCACTGTGCAGGTATTTCCCAAGTCTGTAGTGAAGGTTGATGTGCTTGAGAAGCAGGGTGGAGGACGTTAATGGCTTGATTAATGCAGCTGTATAGAGGAGCATGTTATCTGCATACAAATGAGTCTTAGCTGGCTTAATGTCCCCTCCAAGAATTGTTGAGATATCCTGCTGACAGATTAACAAGGTATTAGGAGTTAAAACATCCCCTCTGTGGCGGAGATCCTTCTCACCTCCCTGTGGCTTATCAAACTGAAGCCTGACATGAGTGTATGTGCTGCTCTGTGGCATGAAATACTGTCTTAAACTATCCTGTGACCCTGACAGACGCTTGACTGCCTCTTCTTCTACTCCTCCTCAGATACATCTGTGGAGTTTCTCCTCACCAGGGAGATTCCATCACTGACAGTCAGGAGTGCCGAGCTTCACCTCCAACTTTCTAACCCACAACACCTGGATATCCATCCTGTGCTTTCCTCTATGGCAAAGCGAGGCCTTCCTACAAGGTAAAAAAAACAAACAAACATACTGATACTCAAAATCAGCTCAGTCACTCCTACGACACAAAGCGATTGTTGGACTAATGGCCTCTGGGAGTGTCAGGCCTGGTTGTAACCCTGTTGTCTCTCGCCTCCTTTAGGTACAATTTATGGTCACGGGGAAACACAGTGGAGCTGAAGGTGGATCTACTGTCCTTTTTCCAGAGTCTGCAGGAGGCAGCGGGTGGTGCCGGAGGGGGTCCCAGCTTGATGAACCTGCGGCGGGTGGTGTTTTCATCCAGGGGGGATCCACCAGGAGAAAAACCAGCTTCAGGGGCTCTGCAGGACACTGATGGTGACATGTGGGGGGATGGGGTTGCCAGCACGCTGTCTGTTCTGGAGCTGGGCTTGGTCCTGGGTTGCACTCAGGCTGGATCAGGGGTTTCCTGTGGAGCCGGTGGTGTTCACCTCTTGCACACACCTTTCATGGCTCTGTACTTCAAATGAAGACAAACTGAGACTGGTCTGTGTTCTGCACAGAGACATTTCATCTGTCGACTCACTCTTTTCTAACTGAAAAGACGCGCAGTCACCTCAAAGCTTACAAGGAATCGATGCACTTCAATGTCAAATCTATTAATTTATAATTGTGTTTTTTTCTGGAAAATTATATATACACACACATGTAAATAGCAAATATGATATACTGTAACTTTATGGAGTCATTCTGTGGTTATTAAAGCTCAATCTGTCAATGGCTCCTGACATAAGTGTATGGCCGTTTCTGTTAGTGGACTTTGTTCAGCTGTGTTCCTCTTTTGGATATTATGGTACCAACACCTTTTAGATATGTGCTTCTATTTAAAGATGTTTTCACAGCTGGTGGGAAAAGGTGGCAAAACAAAAGCAAACACCACCTGTACAAACAAAAGGTGCCTGCACATGTGCTGTAACCCTGCTGAACTTAGCTGTGTCTATTATGTTTTTGTAGGCATTTTCAAAATTGCATATACTAAAATACTTCCCACTTTAGATGCTGTGGAGGCACAGTACTTCTCATAAGATCAAATTTAAAAGAAGGCTACTGCTAAATACCAAACAAAGTAAAAAAACAAACGCAGCAACACCTTCTGATAAAATAGCACATTTATTAAAAAGAGACAGCATTTATCAGCATTTCCAATTTTGCAGACATATGCCAGATCTGAGCTGAGAGGTCTCAAATACATTTCTCAGTCCACCTGCTGCCAACAGCCCTCACAAGAGCATCTATTTATCCTATTCATACAGCGGGACTCATATTTAAGCACACACGCTCATACTGTGTGACTGGTGGCAGACCTCGTCGTTTGTGTGCGAGTGGGTCTGCTGCCTGGACGATGGACACGTCGGCAGATGTTTTGCTGTTAAAAATTTGTCTCAGTTTAAATTCATCTCACGTGTTCAGTTGCTTTGAAAATGAGAAACAAGGAAAGACAGCGACAGCCTGAAAAATGGTCACCCCCCCATTAACAAATTTACATTAAAAGGACTCTCTTAGGATGAACATTTCAATATGGAGAATAAATCTGACAAGACATGTTTGCTTCCCTTGGTTTATTTACCAGGAGGGGGGGGGGGGTTGAGATAAACGAAGAACCTTTAACGTTATGTTAGGACACGGTTAAATTTGGATGGAATGATGGCAATTCTTTGGTTCTCATGTGAAAAACCCCCACTGAGAGCAGATCTTCATTCCACTCCAGTTCATTCAATTGTGAGACGTATTGACAATACGGGGTCCAAGAAAGGCTGGTGAGGAGCTAAATACATCAGACTGTTTGAAAGTGCTGGACATGCACATTTCACAGAGTTCTCTTAAAAATCTCTCCATTTGTTTTTGTTGTGACTGGCTTTGCTCCTAGAGAAAGTTGAGGTTAACGACAAACTTGAGATAAACTAACTCTACTGACAAGACTCCTAACGAGGGTTGTTTGTGTGGAATGAAAATCTAGCCCTGAAAAGTGTGTTCAACAGAGAAAAAGAACAACAACAACAAAAAAAAGAGGCTAATTTGATATAAGCAAATAAAAGAGCAACCTCAAGGCGTATGATGGCAAAGCACAATGTATTCAATAATTCAAGGCAACAAAGACAAACACAAAAAAATGACATGATTTTAAAATACATGAGGCAGTGCAAAATGTCACCAATAAAATATCACGCTTTAAAAACTCAAAACAAAAAACAGATCCTGAGGAAAAAATTGAAACATAAATCCAAGCGTATTATAAAACATCTCCAGATCAGCCCCACTCTGATTTAAATTATATATAAATGTATAATAGAAATGGAATCCCACATTTTCAGAAATAATCTCATTTATTTGACTTTCTGACAGCCTGTTCATGTGGCTGCCTGTTACATTTTGTCTTTGTCTAAATTTTCTCTACCAACAACCGTTCCTTATCCTCCTCAGAAGAAAGGCAACAAAGTCTTCCTCAGGAGGACCACCACAACACCCCCCTAACACCCCAGCAACAACACAAACGTAATGAGAAGAAATCTGTCGTCACTAAAAAAAAATAAAAAAAAAAAAAAAAAAAAAAGTGATCTTGTACCTTATATACACACGCAACTGTGTAGACTTTCAGAGGAACACAACACGGTGACTTTGGTGCTGAATTAAATGAACTTTTTGCATCTTTTTTAGAGAGAGAGACAGAAAAAAAAATAAGTAACTTAAATGAGTTGAGTTAAAAAAAAAATAGAAATCAAAACTCGCAAACAACTGAATATTTTCTGGCACTAACTTCTTGCCCACCAGCAATCAGAATGGGAAGGAGAATCAAGGAGTGAGGAAAGATCCACAACACCTGAATTGTTAACCGTTTTTCTTTTCCAAGTACTGCATATGGCAACAGCAATACTAGCAGGGAGGATCAGAGGACATTGAAACAGGCAAAGTTACAAAATCGTCCTTGGAGTAGAGCTAAGCACTTAGGGGAGGTAACTAGATACATAAATAGGACAGTCCACAACACAACTCCACAAAAAATGAAGAACAAAGCTGCTTTTCAGTCTGTATGGAAAGCAAAAAAAAAATAAAAAATAAAAATACGATAACATTGTGAAAAGCAGACACTAAAACACAGTCACAGTGGACACTGATAATGTGGCCATGTAGAAAATTAAAAAAATAGGCTCAAAGATTAAAATTTGTCCCGTTTGCTCAATCAATCAAAAGGATCAGAACACGTGGCTTAATTGCACTGAAAGTTCACACCGAATTAACAGAATGGTGCAGTCCACATTAAAAGGCTTTAAGACAACAGATCTGAAAAGGCTGAGTGAAGAATGCGGAAAATGCAATAAATTTACGTCTATAACATTTTCTACTTACGCCGATGTCGTGCTTTCTCGTCTCTCACTGCAGGTGGATGAACTAGTGGTGCACGCACAGCCACTTGGAGGATGTATGAAACACACGCACTGACTGGCACAGATCCTCGTGATTTATTGTATTAACATTGAGCTGCAGCGGCCTGTTTCAAATAACACGGGGGATTGAAGTTCATGGCCCATCAGGGTCAACACAGCATTCTGCTTTAAACTGAAAACACAAAACAATAAAAAATTTAAACTATTACAACTGTCCAGTTAGCTGGCCAATGTTAGCCACGTAAAAAAGGGGAACACACTATATTTCTCTAAATTAATCCTCAATTCAGTTGCGATGAGTGAGGGTACTGTATGTCCAAACATACCAAATTTCATCCGCTTGCCACAGAGGCATCTCAGAAGCGGACTTTGCAAGCCATTTGTCAAACACTCCCCCCCCCCCCAAAAAAACCCCACAACAGACCACCAAGTTTTTCCTTCTCTAATGACATAAAATAAAGACATTCTTTGGTGAAACAAAAAAGGCAGGCATGCATAATTAATGAATGAATAGAAAAAGGCAAAAGGTCACAGAAAACAAATGGAAAATGACTCACTTAAGACACAGCTTAAACATTTCACAGCATAAACTTTGCCTCCCACTAAATGCAATTTAGGAGTCTCTTACTGAAAGAAACTGAGGAAGGTTCGACATTCTCAACCTTGTAATTTGTGTTAAAAAAAAAAAAAAAAAAAAAAAAAAAAGTGAAACGATTCATCCTTGGAAACAAAACAAAACCCAAAAGGACTTTGAATTTGCGATGACTACCGAGGACACCGTTTTGTGGCCTTGGATAAGTATTTCATCACCACACCTCACCAGCAGATTTCTGAAACCCAACCTGTATTCATGTAAAAGGCAAACGGACTTAGACAGCAGACAGCAAATAATCATGCCGGCTCAACACCAATTATTTTCTCCTTGCAACAACCTATGGCATGTAGATGATGGCACGTCAACAAAAGAACTTACTACGTCTGAGTGGAAAGACAAAAATGCGACAAGATGTGAAAAATGGGATCCTCTCAAAGGGGAACTGTATTTCCACTTATAGACTCGTGGTTTCTATTCTAACCAATTTCTAAGCACCATTTCCAATTTGAAGGTAACATGTCTGACCAGATGCTGGGCAGGAGTGTTCAACAGGGTGTGCTTCTTGGCTACCCCCAGTACAAAACAATGCTTTTTTTTTTTTTTTTTTAAGTTAATAAAACAGGCCCAGGCCAATCACTCCTGAGCTGCCCACTTAGCTGCTGAAATGTGGTTTCAAACCGTGAAGACTGGCATCTGAAAATCCTGCCCAGTCTCTGAGCGGAAATGACTAACATTGTTCAAAAGAGTTAGCAGAGGTGGATGCGAAACACATTCACAAAAGAAGCGCGCAGCATTCACTTCCTACGTCTCCTTTTCTGGTCGAGCTTGCTTCATCTCGTTGTGCCTTTCCGAAAAGTTACTGTCTCTTTTTGTCCTCCGTCGTCACGATTTCCTCCAAGCCTTCAGGCTCTCTCCATTGTGTATGCTTTTACCTGTTGATGCTGTTGTCACCTTGAGCCCCCCTCCCCCCTCTCTCCTTCTCTCCATAGTCTGTTTGACGTCTCCTCGATCGCTAGTTGCGGCTCACAGCCGACAGAGGCAGAACAGTGTGGGGATGAACACCCCAAATGCCACAAGGATGGGAAACATTAGGCTGCTGTTGTCGGCTGCGTATGGGTTTGGTGTTCGGGGGCCTGATTGGACCCTGTACTTGGAACCTACTGGGACCTTTTTCTTCCCACCTTCCTCGCCTCCCTCACTTTCCTCTTCTTCTTCCTCCTCTTCCTCGTGCTTCTCCAAGCCAGGGTGAGGCTGAAGTTTTGGCACATCTGTCAAGAAAAAAAAAATAGCATAAAAAGGAAGACAGGTGAGGGTAGAAGTTGGTACACAAAGAACTTGCGTATAATACTGCTAAGTCTGAAGGCCAATTTATTCTTCTGCGTCGAGTCTACAGCGAAGCCAAGGGCATAGGTCACATGCCGTCGTGAGCATTTATACTTGTGCATCCGTGTCTGCATCGCTCTTCAATTACACCGCCAAAAACACTAGCTGGCGGTGGGGTTTCTATGTTCCACTGTGTTAATATTCTTCTTCATCATTGGTGTAGGCTTCTACAAACAATGGCAACTGAAACGGAGCCAAAGGCTAGAGATTGAACAGTGTAGGCCCAAAAATGACATCAAAAACCTGTGACACATGAGAGATTTAACCCTATTGCTTAGATTATAAACTCTCAGTGAATCTAAAAAAAACAAAACTATTCGGCATCAGTGACGCTGCGTTGGTGTTTGGCAGGAGAGCAGATTAAACA